TATTTTACTTGCATTTTTAATCACTCTTATATTTAAATGTTCATTTTCTATTTTATCTAGGGATTGAGAGTAACGAAGTTTCTATTCTCTGTATGTCCTGTACATGTGGCAGAATTGACAATAAAGGTGACTTTGACTTTGACTTTGAAATAATACAACAGAGAAAACCCCAAATATCATATGATCCCGTTTGAGCAAGTGCTTTGGCAACAGTGGAAAGGAAACACTCCTTTTAACAGGAAGAAACCTCCAACAGTACCAGGCTGAGGTAGGGGGAAGGGGGAGGAGGAAGAAAGGACAAAAGTGCAAAACTGCTGTGGAAGAGAGCCAGAGATTAATATAATAAGTAATAATTATGATATGAATCATAGTTTGATTCTCAGGTTTACTTGACTTTCATCAGCAATTATTTTCTGCTGCTAGTATAATGGTTTTCATCTAACATGTACACTACATTTGCGCTCTGTATTTTTCATCATATTTACCTATTGAATTTCTGTGTCTTTAATTTTGTCTAATCTAATTCTGTGTGGATTGTTTCTCATCTTTTCTACATTTTCATCCATTTTCACCCCTTCTGTCCATTGCCTCCATTCATCCCTGTCCAACATTCCTTCCCTCCAGTTCTTCCCTCTGTATCTCTCCTCCAGAAGACTCCCTCCTCTCCAGTCAGCTGCCATGCTACAGGTTTCTATCCTGACAGAGCCATGATGTTCTGGAAGAAAGATGGAGAGGAGCTTCATGAAAATGTGTACCACACAGACGTACTCCCCAACCATGATGAGAGCTTCCAGATGAGTGTCAGTATGAATGTTTCATCATTTACACCTGAGGACTGGAGAAGATATGAGTGTGTGTTTCAGTTCTCTGATCCTAGCAGTGCCATTGTCACAACATTGGACAAAGCAGTGATCAAGACCAACTGGAGTAAGTGCAGTTCACCTCAGAAACACTGATTAGCTCATGTGAGCCCAATGAGAGCATTAACTGATCCATTTTGAATATTTCAACTTCACTATTTCATGACAGAAATAGTGAGGATTTAATGCATAAATTAACTGTGGCGTTTCACACAAGCTGAGCTCAATTTCTCTAGCCACACCCAGGCATTACTGCCACACATGTTCTCAATCAAGAAATCGCTTAATTAGGACCTGCCTGAACAAATTGGAGCAGACCAAAAGTTCCTCAAAAGCTCCTCCCCATGCCAAGGAAATTCAGGAATAAATAAGAAACAAAGTAATTGATATTAGTGAGTCTGATCATAATACCATTTCTAAAGCTGTGGGACTCCAGTGAATCACTTGAGAGCCATCATCCACAACTGGCGAAAACATGAAAGAGTGGTGAACCTTCTCAGGAGTGGCTAGTCAACTTAATTTACCCCAAGAGTGCAATGACGACTCATCGAGGATGTCACAAAAGATCCCAGAACAGCATCCACAGAACTGCACATTTGGGTTCTGCAGCAGGACAACAATTCAAAACACACTAGCAAGTCCACCTCTGACTTGGGAAAAATAAACAGAAGACATTGGGGTGGTCAAAGTCCTGACTTGAATCCAATTGAGATGCTGTGGCATGACCTTAAAAAGGTGGTTCATGCTTGAAAACTCTCCAATATGGATAGATTGCAACAATTTTGCAAAGATAAAGGGGCCAAAATTCCTCCACAGTGCTGTAAAAGACTCATTGCAAGTTATCGCAAACACTTGATTGCAATTGTTACTGCTACAGGTGGCCCAACTAGTTATTAGGTTTAGGGGACAATCACTTTTTCCACACAGGGCTGTGTAGGGTCGGATTTTTTCCCCTTAATAATAAACATCTTAATTCATAAACTGCATTTTGTGTTTACTTAGGTTATCTTTATCTAATATTTAAATTTTGGGGTTCAACTTGAAAAAAAGGCAGTGTAAAATATAAAAGTGAGATCAGAGGCCAAATGTACAATATTTTAGCTCTTTATATAGTACTTCCTATATGTTGAAAACACAAACCACACTTGTAAGAATAATAGTGTCTAAGTTATAAAGCTTTTTAATTTAATTTCTAAACAATAAACCACAAAGTTGACCTTTAAGACCTTGGTGATAAAGGATATTTCATGAATTGTTAACATGATCAGTCTAACATAATCCTTAAAAGGTTTTTATCAGAATTTATTCAAAACCTTTTGAGTTATCATTTTTACAGACAGAATGATATGCATGAATGACATCAACAACCTTAGTTTGTAGAAGAAAACCCACCTGCATAAAATGATAGCCAGATGAATGCACCTTTGTTCTAAAGAGTTTTTCTGTGAAATTCGTCTTTTTCTTTTTCAGAGAAACCGAGTAAGTTGATTGTCCTCATCGTCATTGCAGTGGTTGTTGTTGCAATGATCACCTTGATTCCTGCTGGATACATTTTTTACAAAAAGAAAAAAAGTGAGATGCTTTATTTTTCTTGTTTTCTTTAATTTTCCAGGTTTTAAAATATGAGTTTTCTAAAACTTACTATTTTAAACATTGAGCATTAAATAGTCTAATTATTACAGTCAAAGTCAAAATAATATAACTGAAACCATCATACTTGTAATAAATGAAACAATTGATTAATTTTTTTAATTTATTGGTTTTATGAACTTATAATACATTTAGTATGGATTAGATGATGAATCCATTCTTGACATGACTTGTCTTCTTTTTATATTTCAGGTGAATACCATCTTTTCTGTAAGTCAAACTCATTTTATTCTGCATTGCTTTCATTTCAAGTTTATTTTGTGCCTTTGGCTGCAGTCACACTGAGCTACAATTCACATGGGCTCACAAAAAACAGCAGTAGGTTTGAGACACTTGTGAGATCAAAATTGCAATCAACTTGCAATCTCTGCGCATTTGAAAGAGTTGCTTAAAAAAAAAAAATGGGGGCCAGGTCTGAGGTTACTCACAGTCAGGTGAGATGTCCATACCAACTTTTGTGCATCAAGACCGTGATCTAACTGCAATAAGACAGAGTAAGTCTGCTACCAGTTTTCAGTTAAACAGGGTCAAGTTGGCAATTCCATTCCTGCAATAATATGATGACCTGCTGCAGTCTGTTGCAGTCTAGATCACAGGTGTAGTGTACTGGAGAAATAGTGTAAAGCATGTCAGAGTTGAGTCATCTTTACATATTTGTTAGAACTCAAATTCCAAAAGTAGTGGACAGCAGGAAAGCAGTAATAAAATCCAATCAAAGCAGATTTCTTATTATATTTGATAGCATGTGACTTGCATTGCTTTCCACCGTCTCAT